TGAATAAACAAAGTGTACATACATAATATTCCAGACGAGTTTTTCTTTTAATATCCACAGACTTTTTGTGCACGGAGCACACATGACAATCTCGGCTGCCGACTGGCCACGGATGCCTGCCGGGCATGATACAAACAAATCTCTCCACGCCTTCCGGCAACTGCCCAGATGTCGCGAAACTCCACTTGGAAATGTCGCGTCATTTCAATGACTGATGCGGCACGAACTTCTCTCTCCTCAACGGTTGAGGAAACCCGTGTGGGGTTGGAAACCAGGTGTGGCGACGAGACCTCGACTTCAAGACCTTTAACATAATAGGTAGGAAGACCATCCCTGGATAATTGGAAGGACGACGAGCACCCCCCTACCCTGCCCCCCCCCCAGCTTCGTGGAAACAGTGGCATAACACACTTCTTGTGCATTTGGGCATGTGGAATATCTGAGCCACAAGTTTGATGGGAAAAGGAGGACTTGGAGGCTAGGTGGTGCCCCCTTCATGGCGAGATTGAGATAAGAAAGTCGGATCGGAGAGCCGGAAGACAGGGAAAGGAACTCGGCAAGGGGAACAAGAGCCACAAGCAAACGTCGCATGAACGTTAGCTGCTTTTGGGTTGTTTTCTTTATCCCCCCCTCCCTCCCCCTTACCCCCTCCACCCTCTGCCCTTTCTCCCGTTTCTCCCCCCACCCCCATACCCGAATTTTCCCTCGTTAGGTTGGTTGTACTTCCCTTCTCCGGTCGTCATCCCCCATTTAAAGTTTCACCTCCCCCTCCCCCCCGTCTTGATGGCTTCACTCAGTTGGGGCAGCGGAGCCCCCCTTACCACCCTCCCCCCTCTTCCTACTCCCCCCCCCATCCCCTATGTACGGTTCAGTTGCGTCGGGACGGCTCTTCGCGACTTGTTGACTCCTGGACTTGACTTGCGCGTTGTACACGGGCTCGTGTTTTGCGCAATAACAACATAATAACAATAAGGAAAAAATGTCCACAGACTCGGAGATTCTGAAATCTCCTGGAACAGAGTTCCAGAGTCTGTGGGCTACACGGGAAATAGCTTACCCGCAATTATATTGCCCATTGCATACTTAAGACAACCCACAGTTATCACTGTTTTTATCTTATGCATGTGTACTCAGCCTTCGCATCCATTCCATTTCATAGTTAAGACACTCATATCTATTAATTGCACTTCACAGATACTCGTATCTGACATTCACGTTCGTGGACTACCTATAGCTACCATTATAATTCGTACTGAGTCACCCCTAGCTACAAATCTCATTCGTGTTTAGTCACCCTCATTCATAGTCACCCTTTGCTAATATTCTCCTTCATAGACATCCACAGCAACCATTGTTATTCATACACCATCTCCCATGCATTGCTGTGGATTTTGGTAATTAGGCTGTAGGGCCGCCTACATTAACAGCTGGGGGTTTATTTTTAGATATAATCAATGGGACACAATTACATTTGAAAAGGCAATGACATCGGCTGCAAATTGAGTTTTCACAGTCATAAAAAACCCATCTGAAAATCATAATGATTCAGAGGGAGCAGCTCAAATTAAAATCATGTATGAGGAGAATAACAGTTTGCTTGAACTGGCAAGAGTAGGGTTGCCATCGGACAGGAACGTCAACACTTGATTATCCGTGGGCAGATTATCCAGGTTGTAGAATAGCAATGGTCGCCGAATCACCCACGGCACATGTGTTCACACAGACAGCTGGTCCCACCATGAACTGCTCATCACTCGGGGAAGGGTCGTGGACTTTTGCCCCAAGTGACTGCGGCCATCTCGGCACGTGGGGGCGATTGTTTCAGGTGAACGACGACGTGCTCTGTTCTAGGTAGGTAAGCAAGAGACGCGTTGTTGCAACGGACACGACGCACCGCTTTGCATTTGTGGGATATAATTGAGAGTTAGCTGCTCTGTACTCCAACGCAGCTCGTTAATCTGGAATCGCTGCACTTTTATGACAAATGCATACGCCACTTTGTAAAACGCACTTAAATGTCAAAGTTTTAGACAAATAAAAACAGTTAACTGTATATAAAGGTGTAATGCTTTCTACTCCTAATTATTGGAGATATTACTGTCATAATTAGTCTGTAGGAATTACCTTAACCCAAGTAGAATATTGTATTGTTTCAAAAGAAGTGGTTTTAAGCATCATCGGGCTGCATGGTGTGTTGCGTTTATGGAACGTGACTCACAATTGGAGGTTTGCCCAGTTGAAATTTCAACTGGGCAAAGATTCAGCCCGTCATCCCACCACAGGCAGTAATAAAATCTTTACCACTTTGTGAGAAGAGGTCACCAGCGGTTGTCTCATGGAAGACCGGCCTCTGCCACGAGAATTTGGAATCTCCACCACTGACTCAGAGTGGCCAATGGACAAAAGGATGATGGCCCATGAGTCAATTGAGCAGAGAAAAATCTGCATTTCATACTTCCCTCCTACATTAAAGGGATGTGCAGTTCTCGTTATTTTGGTCCTAACAGCGAATAGTACCCATGGGGTATCACAGAATTATGAAATAAAGAGAACAGCAAGAGCAGGTTTGAGTGCTTTTCTAAAATTAAATTTGATGATGCAAAACAACTTACCAACCAGTATAAATGCAGTTCATGTAACCTACCATGACATATCGATGAAAAACATGACATTCTATAAAGAATGTAGAATTAAAGCTGAAGAGTATGGAAAGACGCGTGGAGATGTGCATGCTGGCATTTACACTGATAGAGATGAGTGGGTACACGTGACTCGAAGTACAAATTAAAATTAAGATCTTTCGGTAAAGTCACGTAGGTATAAAATAAAATTAAAAAATAACTCACAAGACGGACGCTTGTGTTGCACCCGAAACGTCGGGATTTATTTTTTTATTGTATTTTATACCTACGTGACTTTACCGAAAGAACCAAACAGTATGGATTCCTGCAGTCACGAAAGCTTCAAATCTAGATTAAAATTAAGATCACGACTGTTCAGGAAAACTCGTGGACTTGGGCGAGATGTATTGTTGGTAGCAGGTGGAAAAGTCTGGTTATGGAATGACAGCCTAAAGAGGGAACACAGCCGAGAGAGAGGGATGGCGACCATGGAATTGACTGACAAGAGAGCAGCTTAGTAGCAAGATGGATTTTGGTATCGCAGGACCGTGCGGGATGTTGATGGCGCAGGGAGGCCTTAATCTAGCAGTGGATAAAACATCACGATTGACTACAGTCAGAGTGGCCCTGCGGAGCGGAGGCCCTTGCACTAGCAGTGGCATGAGCAGAAAAATACACGGCCACAACTTGTATTTTTACCTAAGAATATTTACTGTTATTTGTTTTACATTTTTTAAAAATTTTACCAGGTAAGGGCCACTGAGCTATACACCTCTTTTTCAGAAGCGGCCTGGCCACAAATTGATCGATCGACAATGTGGCTTATCATGTGGAAATGTATAGCAGCCAAATACTACAAAAGCATGTTTCTAAATGTGGAGGGGAAAACCGGAGGACCCAGAGAAAATCCACGTGACCACAGGGAGAACATGACATGCAAACTCCAAATATACAGGCGTCAGGGTCGGAATTAAACCAGGCAAGGAAGTTAATATCTTGCCAGAGCAAATGAAGCAAATCATAAAGTTGGCAATGGAAACGAATGACGTGTGCATAGTAGGAGCTGCGTTTTTGGAATGTTTTGTTCACACCTGATGGCACAGTGAGTGAATGCAGATCGCAATTTAAATACCCGTCTCTGTAAAGTCCCATCGTGCTCAGTGTGCTTACCGGCAAATCCCCTCCGGTGCCAAAAAGAAATTGCCATTTCTGTTGAGGTTGCAATTTGTTTTTGTATTCATCATGAACAGTATCAATGTGACGACGGGCACATTCATTTGGTGCACCATAAATATTAATACAAATTTTAAGACAAATTTTTTTTTTATCAAATTGCATTTTGGAGGCGCGATGACACAATAATCAACCCGCTCGTTTGAACTGAAAATAAATATCTTAACATGGCATATACTTGGAATATTAATGTGTACACCATGATGCAAGAGCTCAAAACCATTAGGCCAGATGCTTGTTGGACACTGGCCGCACCTTCAGGGATGGGGAACGTGAGCGCACTATGCTATGAACACATCGACTCAAGTTGAATTCCCACTCGCAGGCAACATGAGTGACGAATGTCTGAACTGCGAGGCACAAGAGATACCACTGCGCGAACCTGCCATCCGGGGGGGAGATTGGTTGAAGCAAACCCACGCCGCAAAATGAAATCATAATCTTCTGATCGTGATTCCAATCCCCTATGTATCGCGCAATCCCTCATCATGAGCAATATCAATAATGGGGAAATAAGGAAAAAACGTGGCTGTGCAATAAAACAACACTCTGTATAAAATAATACATCTCCGTACAATTTAACTCTTTACCAACTTGATGTATCATTCCTGAAAGAGAAAAGTGAGAGCGTGAAAGGGACACTTTGACCTGAATGTTGACTTTGTTTGCATGACTCACGGGTAGACGTGTGTGCCTGTATGCGTGTGCATGTGCTGAGGATGCAAAAATCGAGAACACATCCCGGGCACGTGTCCATGTGCGTGTAGGGAGCGGTAGTGTAGCGGTTAACGCGCTGCGCTATGAACCTGGCGACCCAGGTTCGATTCCTGCTCACGGCCAACACCATTGTGACAATTATCTGAACTGGCCCTGGGCCTCCCCTAGGTCGACTCAACCTCGAATGAGTACCTGGTGCGGTGTGCAACCATCGTCAACGGGGAGACAAAGGCGGCCGGGCGTGGTGCTGGCCACCCACCCCTTCGTGTGCCGTTCCGGCCTCGCTAACAGGACTTGCCCCTACAGTCTGTTAAGGCTACACGGGGGATCTTTGTGTGTGTGTGTGCATGTGCATGTGCGTGTGCCCGCGTGTTCGTGCGTACGCATGTGCGCGCGCACGTGTTCGTGCAGGCTCGCGTTTCTCCCTACCTAGGCCCTTGGGCTGGATGCCACTGCGGTCGGTGGGGTTGACCACCCAGTAGTAGTACTTGAGGGTGTGCATGAGCTGCAGCACGGTGCTCACTCGGCGGATGGTACTGTAGATGGTGGCCGTGCCGATGAACTCCGTTGACAGGTACGTGTACAGGGACAGCTGCACCTGTGAGGCAAAACAGAGCAACTTCACCGTGCCGCCCTGCTGCGTAGAGACGAAGGAACGTGCGTGTCTAGATGCTACCTGCATTTTTGGAGCTTAGCGGAGCTATGCATCACTCGGAGTCGTTTCGATTCACCCCGCGCTGTAATTACATATATAAAAGGGTGCTTCAAAAAGACGTTAACACGGACAAGGGACTATTGTTTTTAATGAAAAAAAGAACGGATAATATACACTGTAACATGATAACAAACGTATGTTATAATAGCTTCAAAAAGTTAGAGTCTCCCACTTGTTCGCCATCATTGTCAACACGTGGCCTGGAATCTTCTCCCAGTGGTCTCCAGAGCCCGGAGGCAGCAGCACATTGCTTGTGGCATTGTTGCAAAGTCTCTGAAGTGTTAACATTTCTTTGAAGCACCCTGTACATGCGTAGAAACATTTATCTGTATTTGAAGAGGCTCTGCAAACAGAGGGCATACTGTTAAAATCGCGAAAGTCCTCCCCCTCCCGCCTTAACTACCAAACGCATGTAAATACAATTGACCTTTAAACACATGTTAATTTGTAAATAAATAAATACTCGCATTACTCATGGAGCCAGTCACTCTTATGTAAAAGCAGGAGGTAGCTGGCATGAGATGGTGCATGAGACCAGCCACTTAATTATTATTTTGGCTTCCGTTGCTAGCTCATTAACATCCATCGTGTTGCACGCACACAACATCAACCTTCGTGGAAGTATCGAAGGAAAAAGGCGCAAAATAAGGTAACTGGCAAAATAGCAGGAGGTATCCTCCTGCACAAGACTAAACCATAACCTGAGCAAAAGATTAAGAGTAAAAACTATAAATAATGGAAACGAATTCATACGGAAACATTTTTTAAGTTTAAAAGCTATAAAATGAAAAATGTGACAATTACAATTTTAATAAAACGTACTTATAGCAGTAATTGTTGCCTGCAATAATGCCTGAATTATTATTATTATTTTAACCTCATTCTAAATATTTCAGATTTTCTCACTTTAATATATTTTAGAGCAGTACTATGGTTTTCCATAAAAAAAAACATGTTAGAAGAATATTCTTTGGGTCTTGCAGTCACGAAATATTTAAGTCAAGATGTTAGAAGAACTAAGACTCTCACCTTTTCTAATTATCCACATAAAGCACATCCAGCCACACACATGACATAATTGGGGCGTTGCGGTGTAGAGATGTTATCTCCCTTGCCTGGTATGCAGGACGTCATGGATTCGATCCTGACCCCGAAGCCTATGTATTGGGTGTTTGCATGTCCTCCCCATGGTCGGGTGGAGTTTTCTCCGGGTCTTCCGGTTTTTCCCTCCACATTTAGAAACGTGAGTTTAGATCATTTGGCTGCTATAAATTTACACATGACAAGCCACTTTGTTGAGACATCATTTGTGGCCAGGTGGCGTCTGAAAAAGAGGCTAATGGCTCAGTGCGCTTTACCTGGTAAATAAAATAGTTATAGTTTTAATTGCAAAAAACACAACTCAAAATCAACAGATTGCACTGTATTGTATGAATATGCTAGCCCTAGCTAAACGAATGTGGAATTCCACATCAAAAGTGCTGAACACTGCCCCATCGGTCATTTGAGCAGGGAGACACACTGGCATTTCGACATGAAGTACACACTAGAGTACAGAAGCTCTGTGTTCATTTTCTTTCATGGACATAGCCATTGTCATTGGGATGACATCCCATAGAAGTAATAACCACCGTGGTCATCATCAATAATCAATAACACCACCGATACCACTTTTGCATAATCACTCTCGACTACATAGCCAACAAAAACAACAGCTGCCATCTGCATAACAATCAAAACCATTACCGGCAATGCAAATCATTCATTTTGTTGTTAAATGTCTTTAATTAATTGGTTCAAGTATGTTATTTGGAGGATTGTTTGATCTCAACAGTGGAAGAGTTTATTTAGTAGCTGAGACTGTTGAGTGATATTCGGTCATGCTCCAATTTACTGACCTGTCGTCATGATATTACCCAAGGCATTATAATTATTACCACCATTGATGCTGTAATCATCATTAGACATTACATTTATAGCCATTTCCAACAACAATCATTCAATTATGACTCTAAGGAAGCTAACATCAGGAATGAGTCCCAAATCTCCTTTTCTTTACCATAATCTGCCTACACTTTAACAGAGGGGACATCAGGTCAATTCCCAACCTGCATTATGAATGAATTATTTCACCACAACGTCCCAACACCTCCAAGCAGGAACTATCGAGAGTCCGGACCAGCTGCTTGAATATTAATTTGAATCCGAATGGTAATATTCACGTTGCCATTGGACGTTTAGCAAGATTGAAGAATTACCCTGAAGTGGTAGACTTGCACTTGCCTTTAGCTACGTTGACCAGATAAAATGAGAATCTGACCAGTACAAAAACACCACTACTTATTAGGATATATTTTCAGACAAAGAAATATATAATTGGAATGTCATTGGTAATAAGTGAATCAGGTTGTCTCAAATAATGTTCTCCAGAAGATACCAATAAACCACTGCTGCATCCCATTCAAAGGCTTCTTATAAAGACTTAGGTGGTGCACCTTTAAGTGGCCTGAAAATATTTATGAAACAGTAAAAATTGCACACTCAGAAGATGAACATTGAGGAAATCCTTTGTGTGTGCACTACGATAGGGCAGGCTCTGTTCACTCTTCCAATGATCATATGGAATTTGTCCATGATACTTTACGACGGAATCATCATATTGGTGAAATTGAGAGGTGGGAACGCGGTGCAATGAGCTTCCAACGCCACGCAAGTAAGAGGCCCGAGGCACTGTCACTGTTCTGAAAGGGGCAATAACCATATCATGCCGTGAAAAGTGAAAATCTTTCTCTGTATTTCATTCCCACATACCAAACCTTCCACAAAACGCCCACCACCCCCCTGCGTCATCAGCAGTCAATGAGGCATGCACCGACAATGAGATCAATGGCTCGCCTCCCCTTAGAGGCACTGCGCCTCATTTGCTCTCACGCGCCTTGAATGCAGATCGCAATGAGAGGCAATGTCCTGAAATCAAGTTCTTGCAGGACCTGCCACTGAGTGCAGTTTGAGAGGTCTCCCAATGCCAAATGCAGGTTTTTCCCAAAGCCAATATTGCCTGCAGAGCGCTTGTTCAGATCTCTCTGTAGCCAAATCGATATTTCAAATAATGCCAGAACTTGAACGAATGTTCAACCTTTGCAGATTCAACTGTCAGTCAATTGACATAGCATCTCATGGGGAATACAGGGGAATTAATCCAAACACCAGAACAAAACAGTTGCACCTAATCTATCAAAAAAGTGCATAATCTGAACTAAGAGAAATTAACTGTCGTACACTGTTGATGACAGTGTTTAACAGCACTGTCTGCTATCTGGCATCTCTTTGCCTAAAGACATATTCCACTTCGCCGAGCTCTTGCCCAATTCAAATATCCGAAATCTCAAAGGGTCTGCCACCAGCTCCAATTCATGTGGGGAGGTTTTCATTTCTCTCGGTGGCATTGAGAGTTTTGTAAATTCCTCACTTGCGTGGTGAGGGAGCCAGTGTGTTCTGTAGGGTGAATACTGTTGCAGCCTATTGAAGTGTTTCTCATTAATCTGACCCCAGAGTGATGATTGCTCCTAACCAGCAATTGAATCTGAGTTGACCCCAACCTGGAACTTCATTATTTTCAAACCACTGTTTGTGATAAAAGTCCTCTAACCAGTGCAACACACAGCCAGATTCCGATAGGTCAGATTAATCACGAATAGTCCTTTGTCAATCAAGTGCAAAATTTAAAACTCATTTCTTTGGAATAGATTTTCGTGTTTAGTTTGTTGTCCTTCCCCCGCACCTCCAATTAGCACTGTTAGCTACGTGTGATGTGAAAACAGGTCAACATACATGCATACATAGATGAAGGCCTCACCATGCCCTGTCAGTCATGGGGGTTGTTTCACCATACTTCAAGCTAGTCAGCACTTGTTGGGAAGCCAGAAGCAGTTCAGATATCATCCCTCGCCACCAATGTTAGTTGTGACCAGGAATCCAACTCAGTTTATGAGAATAATCATAAATAGCTGTTCTTACTCTTTGGTTCTTTCGGTAAAGTCACGTAGGTCTAAAATAAAACAAGTCACGACGTTTAGATCGCAAGTTCTTCTTCTTCTTCAATGCGCATATTAGTGTAGGAAACCATGCACAATATTTTAAATAGAACACATCATTAGTACGCAATGGCCTTCAAGTAAGTAGAGGGCATGTAAACGTGCTTAAAAACTTAGAAGAAAAAAAAACGCCTTGCACCATTAAATGCTCAGGGACTTTCAGAGCCACCCACAAAGAAAAGACACGCCCATTCCTTAAACCTGGTTCACACAAAGCGGCTGTGATAAGTAGGTTGCGGATTCAGGGCCAAATTACGTCAGGAGCCTTTAATGCCACCTTGATTTCCTTAATCCACGTGATATTAAAAGGACCCACGGGACACCTCACAGCGGCACAATTGCCCTGTTTACCCCTGCTAAGTCCAGTCACCGAGCCATGGTTCACAAAGGATTTGTCAGATGTAATAACATTCTGTCGCCAGTGTGTAATCCGAAATGAAGCCGGATTAACAATTTTAATGGGGGATATTGTGATGGTACGGTAATTTAAGGCGTCTTCACAAACACGACACCTTGGACGCATTTACTTTCCATGTCCGAATCCACCACGTCTGTCTACATTGGCCTAGGACTGTAAAGTGCTCTGAAGCGTCAAATTAAATCTGGCTTTGCTTGGATCCATTGCTCCTTCAACACATTAATGGGCTTCAGTCGTAAATCAACTGGTTATTATTAATAATGCTATTACGTTATTGGTTGCACGCTTGCAACAGGCAGGGCACTGTGCTTAGAATGCTTGACTCATACTTGGATGACTGCTGAATCTGAATCCATTTGAGTGTCGCACTC